TTGCGCGGACTATTGATCTTTATGGTTGGCTCGTAAAAGCCCAAAGGGCTTCCACAAGCGTTTTGTGCTGGCTAATTGCCCTAAGACGCTCGTGGCCAGATGTGGCGGCCGCTAATTTAGCGGACAATACGGCGAGTTCCTGTCTATTTATTGTGTCCAATAAACTGCAAATGTTCGCTAATTGCGCGAATGGGTCGTCTTTGTTTTCCGCGAAAACTGACGGAATTGGCTGCACCTGCGGCCGCGGCGCCGTTTGAGAGGCGGGCAGCTGTTTCGCGATCGGTCGTGAGGCGACCGGGATTACGGGCGCGGTTACCTGCGCGGCCACCTGGGGTTTCGCCCAGGCGTTTACGACGGGAACGGGCGCGGGAATGAATTTAACGGGCGCGGGTTTGGGCAACGTCGATTTCGCGGGAGATTTCCTCGCGGGAGTTTTCGGGGCCTTAGCGCAGCCTCTGTAACTAGCCGGATGACCGGTAGTGTGGCAATTTACGCAGTCCGGTGGATCTGCGCAATCTTTCGCCCTCGTGCACTCGGTTGTGCCGTGGTCACCGGTGCATTTGACGCACCTTGGGTGAGCGAAGCAGTTATTGGCCGTGTGGCCAAAATGTTGGCAGTTGTGGCACTGTGCCACAACACCCGATTTTCGTGGGGGCTCGATGACTAAGTCACTGAGCCCACAGACCCTCTTGAGGTTGAAAATGGCCTTACCTTCCGGGGTAGGGTCAAGTTCCACCATGACCATGTCCATAGGGACACGGGGGTGCGAGGGTGCCTGAGACGGCGCACGGCGTGTACAGGGTATCCCTGAGTGCGGATGTCGACCTTAGCCATATCGACATCCGACTCTTTTGGGACGCCCTTTATTACGACCCGAAGTTTGCGCTCTTCGGGTAGAGAGTAGGTGTGGAAACCTACCTTAGCTTCGCGCAAGTATTTAGTTGCGCGACGGAAGTCGTCCGAAGAATTGAGGTATACGCGGATACCCATATGCGTATTCTTGGACCGGGGGTCTCGGATGTTGTGGCGTTCAAACCACGAACAAACTTGGTGCCACTTTGCCTTATCTTGTATTATAATAGGTGGCGGTGGCTTAATTTTTCGCTCGGAGGCGAAAGTCGGTTCCGACTGGGCAGACGCGGCTGCCTTTTTGGCGGGCGTCGCGGTGGGACGGTTTGACGGAGCGGCCTCGCTTTCGGGGTCGCTGTCGGTGGCGGGGCGTTTCTTGCCCTTTTTCCGCGATTTGACGACGGTGAAGCCGTCGGCGTTCGCGTTATTAGCGGGGGTCGTTTCGACCTCCATGTCTGAGCCGCCGTCCGATTTTGAGTCGGGAACGACAGCGCAGAAGGGGGCCGAGTTGGATTGCGCGGAAGGCGCGTTGAGGTCGATCGCGGCGGCGGAGTTCGACGCGACGGGCGTGTTAATTGTCGCAGAGGGCGGCACAATAACTGGTGCGGAGGGCACCGGAGATGGCGGCGAGACGGCAGCCGGTGAAGCCGGACTGTCGCTAGTAAATTCGACGGCTAGGCGCCGTTCACTCGCGAATTTGAGGAACTTTGCCCATATTTCGGGGCATTCCTCCCGCAGGAACTCCTCTAAGAGGGAACCCATTGCAACGCTTGTGCCTTTGGGGCTTGCGCCCCGCCGGCGTGTGTTTTTCTAAATAGGCCTCCCCACCTTGCGGCAGGGAGGTGTGTGCCTAAAATTAACCTTTAGTCGCCTGCGCTTTAGGTGCGCTAGGGTGAGTACCTAGCTGTCGCCTAATGCAACAAGCACACAGATAAAAATTACAATGCCGCCTCTGAGACGAGAAATGTGTGTAGAATTCTACTTACGGACAGGAACCTGCCTACGAGCACAACACTACACTAACACTATCCGCTCGGAAGTCGGTCAAAGTTTCTTCTTTCTTCTGTAACTTTTCTTCTATCTTCTATAATTATTCTTCACTCTTCTTGCTTGAGACTTCCCTAACCGTAGACCGCGAAACACGACAACGATGAGGCAAGCAGTGCACACCGAGATGTAAAGGAGATAATATATATAGCAACAACGGTTGCAAAATGGCTTCCGGGTCGGTTGGCATGGGCCCTCCGGCTCAGATTAACGTCCGTTCCGTGTGGAAGCACGAAGCGAATGAAAAAAAAAAGTAAAAAAAGACTAAACCTGATGAAATGGTTGGGGCATTTTAAAGTGTGCTCACATACTCTAAATACTCGTCTAGAATGGCTGCCCTGCGAGAAGTAATAGGTATTATAGGGATGAGGCAAGCCTCAGCCTTCCCATCGTATTTTAGTATAAATCATCGTTGTCGTCAACGGCCCCATAATGAAAATTTAGAGACTGCCGTCCTTACAAAAATCAAATAGGTACAACAACTTAATTAGTTCCATATTATGATCTAAAAACGATTTCTAAAGGTAACAAAAGGAATAAATTAGAAATTTATAAATATTACACAAGTAATATCATCATAATTATATATTAATTTAAGAGTTGTGGTAGTTCACTGTCCGGGTACCCGTTTTAATTTCGAAATACTCGAGCAACCTGAGTTCGATCCGCGGTGCCGGCACCGATGAAATTGTTAATAATAAGTGCTTATCACTTGATCAGCGGTGAAGGAAATTATTTCGGGGAAACCTGCATGTTTTCGAAATAATAACAAAAAAAATATATATTTCGAAAATACGTGAAGTACCCTTATACCCTCTGTACATAGGAGAGCTTTGTGGACACTAGTTGAGTGGGACATTTATAGGTTGTTAATTTACCTTACTTTACTTTTTCAGTCATATCTTTAATGTACCCAACCATGTATTATATTACAAATATTGTGTTAACTTAGCTATAATAAAATTATATGCATATGACTTTATTATGTATAGATAAATTCTTTTTAGGTTTTCTAAATTCATAAAATTATTTAAGATATTATTTGACATATATTATCCGCTACGCGCACAACAGCAGACCTCCCTCTATCATTTTATTTACATAAATAAGATGTTTTGTTTTTTTTTTGTTGTTGGTTTATTGCGTTGTCACTACAGATACTCCGTTTGTACCACTCCTCATCGGTGGTTTCGCTGATGATTTTAACTATCTGAAGTTTTTTCAGGTGGTCTGTGTGACGCAGACGATAGAAAAGTTTTTTGGTAAGTGCTTGTGTTTGTAGTTTATTTGACCCCATAATATTTATGTTTTATCTTGTTATATCTGTAAAACAATATGTGTCAATTGAAACAAATCACCAAATATTTGGCCTTCCCCTGTCAGGGATCGATTAGCCGAGTTAATTGCCCTGCTTTTTTGTTAGCTTAAGTGGACAAATGTGTCATGAAATTTTTCTAGTGATCCCGTTTGAAACGTAACGCATACACTCTTTTCGAGGTTATATTTAACATGTAATTTATGGACCATTTTCCGATGCGATAGGTGGTATTATGAATACAATTATATTCATTTTAGTTTTTATTGTGCTTATCTCTGCACTTAAGATTGAACATTAAAACATGTAGAAAAATGTTGTTAAAACATGTTTTCTACATGTTTTAACAATTATATTCAGTCTAATTATGAAACACTTACATTCTGTGTGTGTTTTTGTGTCGTCTCACATCGCATTATTGTTAAACATTTTAATATTTGGGACAACATTCTATGTATTTCGGAAGATTGCTGTTTTCAAGACCTCGACTTCCATAAGCCCGGTCGAGACCTTGACCGTTAGTTAGCCATCATGATATAAATTCATAAACTAATGTCATTGTATTTGTTTATCAAATCTTCAGCGTCAGCAAAAGTTTTAGTAATTATTTTGGCAAAACATAATAAAAAATGAACTAAAATACCTAAAACCATAAAATAAAAACTGTATCTGTGCAGATTATTACTGTTTCTAAATAACATTTACTTAGAATAAGAGCGACTAAGACTCGACAACCCATGACAAAGCGTCAACTAAGTGCTATACTTACGAACTACATTTTAATAAACATTGTCCATCTGTCTAAAGAATGTGCGGCATTGTTCAATAATTTGAAACTTTGCTGTTGGTATATTGAAGCGCACAGTACTCCAACAGTCGTGTTGTAATTTTGGCACCGCCTGCTAATTAAGCCCAAGGCCTGTCCATAGACTATTATACATTGTTTGTTTCTTTTTTGCGCGTTATGAATACAGTGTTTAGCTTAGCATAGTTTGCATCGCTATTTTAACTTATAACGAAACAAGTGATCTTAGGTTACATATGTTAAAAACATATTCAACTTCGACGTACCAAAGATAGCAAACGATAAAAGGATTCAGAGTTATAACCGTTTCCTGACTTTTAATGTGAAAAGTTGTCAAACGAGCAGACCTCTCCTGCCTTCACCTGATGTTAAGTTAATACCACCGTCTATGGACATCTGCTACACCCGGGGTTTCCAGATGCGTTGACAATCTTTTGAAAATTGGGCTCCGGCCACCTCACTCACCAGACGAAACGCGAAAGTATTATACTTGCACTTTACGCCAGTCTTCTGTGAGGTCGTGGTACTTACCCGGACAAGCCTGCTCATTCGCGCAACAGACAAGGCTGCTGCGTGGTCCTAGCACTGTTTCCTGCGTGGCCCTACCACCGTTTGGTGACTACCGTTTAATTGATTGGTTTTATGTTCGTTTCTGACTTTTTACAGTAATGAGAGAGTCGAATGAATTCAAAAAAATTATGCATAATTCCCCTTCTTGAGATGATACATTGTTCGAGATGCATGTAGGTATATTGAAAGATAGACAGTTACCCCGCTTTACGCAATTTTGATAAAGCAATAATTAGTGTACTTATCAATTAGGTTCACTAGCACGAGCAAAGGGTTTCCGCACCATAAACCCTCGACTCACCCGATGAATGCATGCTTTTCGGGTCTATCGCGCGTGATGTATTTAATGATAACAGTGGCACAATGTTAGTATAAAATATTTCTGCGAAGATAAAATGGACGTAGACAACCAACATGAATAGACTGGTCTTAGTCGTTTTCACTGTGTCTACCGTTTCGGTGGCGTTTTTAAATCTTGCCGAATCATCAGGTATTTCAACACGCTTATATTAGTTTCATATGTATGTAAGTATGTATGTAACGGAACTTTTAAACGTGATTTTGCCCCATTTTGACGATCAAACTGCTGCACACTCGTCAAAAACCCATGACAATGCAATAATTTAAATAGTTCCCTTTTTATTTTTTTTAATTCCACATGTACGATGATATTAGGAGATCCAGCACAGCACAAAGTTGATATCCCAGATGACCTTGAGGAGGACAATGAGCCCGCCGAAAGATCTGGTGCGTTAGCACAAAGACCCGTGTTAAACAATGCGAACAGACCCCTTCAACTGCCAATATCATCCAGCCCGAGACCTGGACTGATAACTATTGATGTGGTGGAGTGTCACGTATGCACCGACTGTCCGAAGGTATACGAAAATACTACGACAAAATTTTGCCCGCACACTTTGGACGTAACGAGACAAAATAAATGCGTCACTTATGCCGAACAATACAAACGTAAGTATTTTTCCTTCATATTTGATAACTTAAAACTGCAAATGAGAAATTATTTTTTCCTGTAACATGCTGAGCTATTAAGCTGTTGAGCTATCACCGCCGCTCATGGGTGTAAAAAAACCAGCAGGTTGCATACGCGCTTCAGGTCTGGACCTCCAAATCTCACTCTCCATCCGAAATTCAAAAGTATGAACAGTTATATTTTACCATTTCTTAAAAGTCGTTGAACTTCTACAAACGAACTGGCCCATTGCACAAAGTAGCTATTAATCATAGCTTTAAATTATCACTTTTTATATATACTTTTTGATAGTAAGTAATAGAGTATTTGTGTAGTAGTATTCTGTCTGTTCTTTGTCCAAGCTATTGTCGTCTCAAGTTTTATAGCTTCGCAAAATACTGTCATATAACTTATCAAATAAATGTTTTAGATATGAAGAGGTCTTGGTACATTCGCGGCTGCGCTTCGGAAAGGGGTTCTTGTGATGACGTCAGGAAGGCGCATTCCTCACATGCAGACATAGTGAATCTGTTGTTCTGCCGGGAATGCGAAGGGGACAAATGTAATGCAAATGGTAGCTACCGATCCTTCGCCGACATGACATTGGCTTTGTTTACTTTGATCATTTATCCTTTTGTTGGAAAGTATACCCTTTCTTAGATATAGAACAGCAAACTGTACATCAAAAGGATTAAAAATACCTGCGTGAAATGAATCAAAACATAATATGATAACCAAAGATCAAGAATGTTATTACGATATTGTGTCACGGACGGATTTGCTAAACATTGTAATTAAGTTTCAAAAACCAATTAACGAGAGTCATAGTTTACTTCAGATTGTTATTTACATTATAGCGATTTTGTACTATTATGTTATTTTATTTCAATAATTTAATCGATTCTTTTTGGTCTGGTGATCTTTTATATATCAGTTATATCCATTGACAATATAAGCAAAGAAATTGATGGGCAATCACATGACATATATTTCTCTATCGATTGTATTATTATATGTATTATATTTTAAGGTCTTTAAAAAGTTGTAGACTTCACCGTAAACTCATAACTACATAGTACAATGAAATGTGCAAGTAAAGGAAAGTAACATCCTATGCCCCTCTGCTGGATAAAGGTCTCATCAGGGGTTACTACTCCGAAAATATACAGTTTTCTTCACCATTTTTCCTTTACCACCTCGCACTTCAAATTTCATTGGAGTCGGCACCGGGATTTGAACTTATGTTGCTCGTGTATCATCACTACATAGTATAAAACAAAGTCGCCCCGCTGTCTGTCTCTATGTATGCTTAGATCTTTAAAACTACGCAACGGATCTTGATGCGGGTTTTTTATTAGATAGAGTGATTCACGAGGAAGGTTTATATGTATAATACATTGCACCCGTGGGAAGCCGAGGTGGGTCGCTAGTATTAAATAAAAGGCGCTCGATTTACAGCGTCCGTGTATTGAGCTATCACGGGAGTAATAACCAGGAATATAAAACTATTCCTACACATTATCCATCGTTAATTTCCGCACGGAAATTCTAATATTAAAGGTGGATCGCCAGATGTTTGTAGCGATAAGCATCGGCTATTATGTCCGAAGACTTGAACGTTGTGTGTATGCCAAGTTCGGCCATCTGCTTAGTGCAAACTTTATAAAATATAATGCACGAGTCGAGGAACAAGCCAGATCTCAAGCAAGGCGAATGGATTTCTTCCACACTGTAATATCCGTTTGTAAAAATTTACTAACAACCGTAAAATATTCAATAACTCTTTTTTTTACGCATTACTCACAATTGACACAGACTGCGAGTAAAACCCCAATTGTTATAAAATATAAAGCAATTTTATGTCACGTAAACCTTCATGGATGACAAATCGACATCAAGGTAAACGAGTCGAGTGAACACCAATGTGTTTTTTATGTCCTACATCAAAGCAATCAAGAACGTTATATAAATTCATTGCGTGTGATCATGAATATATAATAGACACGCATGCAATTTAAAATTAAGCCAAAATATATGTATGCTAAGACATATCAAACATGAAGTGTTATTTTGTGCATGCTAACTATAGCCAATTCTGACTTAATTGGGTTGCTGCTATTTTGAATATAAACTTTGATTTATTTTAAATGTATATCGAATAGATAAAACATACAAATATAATGCCAGTTCCTGTTTAGGGCCACGCACCAGTTTTCGCTGTTGCACGAATGGGCAGGTCCGTCCGGGAAAGTACCACGACCTCACAAAAGACCGGCGTTAATTAGATAGGTTATACTTCTGGGATTCGTCTGGTGAGGTAACCGGGACCCATTTTATTAAAAGCTAGGCAAAACATCTTCAACTTTACCTTGAAAAAAAAAAAGTAAAGTATCAGCCTATACATGTCCCACCGCTGGGCAAAGGCCTCCTCTGTACAGAAGGTATCAGGGCACACCTTATTGGCAGACTTCACATATCTTCGAAATATGTTTTTTGCTGTTATTTTAAAAATATGCAGGTTTCCTCACGATTTTTTCCGTCACCGCTGAGCACGTGATAATCCGACACTTAAAATTTACAATTTCATTGGTGCCGGCACCGGGGATCGAACTCGGGTTGCTGGAGTATATTGAATTAAAGGCGAGCGCCTGGACACTGAGCTATCACGGCTTAGAATTACCTTCATTGCCTTGAAATACAAAATCAATTCCATAAAAACCAAATGTGTGTCCATGAGCATGATAAATAAATACACAAGATAAATTACCACACAGGTGTAAATTTACATATACACACATATACGTGTATACCGTGTCGCATGTATGATGTAATTGCATTTTCATCTATGTAAAATTTTTATAAAAATTCAACAGCCGTGTCTGCTGCGTGGCCCTACCAGCCTACCACGCACGTGAAAAGTGTGAAAAATGTGTGAGTTGAGTTATTAGTTATATATACATATAACTAATAACTCAATGACAACCACATTCGAGAACAATACTATGATGTCTCAGGTTGGTGGTTAAGAAGTAATTGAAAAAGCATAAAATAATTTTAAAAAAAACGACTTAAAAAATAAACGTAACACGAGACAATAAACGTCAAAAGATTTAATAAGTAGAGATGATCTCTTGCGGAGTCACAATCTATTTGGTTCTCGGTAATTGTAGAGATGGCAATAACATATTCTACTGCCTCTAAACTTAATAAAAACCCAAGAATATCCGTCAGGGCCTGGCGTCACTATTTTAAATTTCATCGTAAATAAAAATGAGTATCATCATTAACTTCTAAAGATTTATATCTTATTTTATTTAATTTATATCTTATTAAAATTTATATTTTATAAGGGCACGGGCAATGGGTAGGTTCATTTAATAGCAGCCCCTGACCGATATACTTGGGTTTATTAAGTTTATAGGTAGTCGAATATGTTATTGCCATCTCTACAATTATCAAAAACCAAATAGGTAGGTACGTAGGGAAATACTATGAAAACTGATACTCGATTGTTAACATATATGACCGACTCAAAGCGGGATCAACTCTACTTATTAAATCTTTTTATGTTTATTACCTCGCGTTACATTTATTTCTTATGTTCGGGCTCTTTAATTATTTTATAATTTTTCAATTAATTTTTAACCGTCGTGGGTTTTCCAAATTCTTTTTTTATTCCTTACCCATTGGAATACACGTTACATACTCTATTTTTTTTATTTTTTTATATGGAATTTTTAATCTTTGCTAACTGCAAACGTGGATCACAGTAACAAGACAAGGAAATCTTATTGTTGCGTTGTACTCGTAGCATAGACATACAGGAGCTATTTTTATGTATACTCTTCTTTCTTAACAAGGTAGCAGTCGATAGCATGAATAGAGAAACGCCTTTGACAGCCAATTAAGGGAATCTTAAAATATGTGAAATAGAAAATTTTATAAATATTTTGAGGTTTCGACACATTATATTTGTTTTGCCATTTACTGAAGAGAAGTTTATTGACTAGTCGGCCATAGCCATGGTGTTAATTTTGTTGCTGTGCGCGCGCATCGTAAACATTCACTATCGTCATTTTTTTTCTAAATCTGAAATCATTTTATTATGTATTTAGTGACAAATACCTATATATTAAAGTATGTCCCTTTGGTACTACATATTTTTCTTTCTTTTATGCTCTGGTCTTACGTACCTGAAAAACAGAACCTTGATGTAGAATGATATCGCAATATCGAATGAAAATCGCAATTAATCAATTTCTTGATAAAAGTTAAACGAATGTTTACATACGATATTAAATCGTGCCTATTTGGACTTCAACTACTGATGTTGGCTTCAAAACTTCTTTTTGTTATGCAATCGGACTCTGTATTGCAATAGCCAAGAAAAGAAAGCAACATTCCGGTTTCGTAGCGAGCTACAACTTTTAATTTGGATACAGAGGTCAATAACATTTTGTGCGTAAAGAAATAGAAATTTATTTTCGTGGTTCTGGTATGAACTATCAATCTAATTTAAGGTCAGTATGTATAACATTGTTTACAATGGGCAATTTTATGTTGGAAAAATATAAATAATTGCATGCCCTATTTGTAATAATGCCTTTTGTAATACAAAATCTTAGAACAAAATAACGTCATCATATATATTTTAAGATTTAGCTAAGCGCTAGGATCAACGCCTCTTCTATACGTACTAAAAGTCTTTAAGGAACTCTTAATGAACGCTATATTAACTTCATTATCAAATGAAGCTCTGTTCAAAAGGTTCTAAAGTTATCAAAAGAACATCTTAAAATATTTTGGTAAATGTCTCTAAAGGTTTGTGTTTATAAAAAACTTAACATTTACCAGCCCGAATTGCGAATTAATAACCACATATCAAAATCACAGTCCTTATAATAATATACCACATGAGCAATCTATAACAATATTAGCACTGCTAATCTGTGATACACTGAATAGCACATACGTAACGTATTATGGCGTACCGCTTTCGCGTACTATGGCGTGCCTGTTCCACAGATTAGTAATTCTCCCGCGCAGTAGTTTGCTCGTCTCCGTTCCATTCCATTCCATTCACTTGCCGTCTGGTTGGCTTGGCATTCGTTCACATAGTGTGTTGCGGAACGTTCGTGATCCGTCCAAATATTGTTTGCGATAAGCGCGGGTGAAATATTGTAATAATGGCAAAGTTTCCGTTGTTTGTAACCGTAGTTTTGTTTGCAATTTTCGTGCGAAATGGTAAGTCAAACTAATTTTTGTATATCCATTTAAAACTTTGTTACAAAAAAACAATAAAAATTTGCATTTCATAATAGTTGGTTGACACAACAGTTTATGGTTACATAGCAGAAACATAAAATTTATAATAGAATAAAATCGTTGTTAATAAATTAAATGTTGTTGTTGTTTATTTATAAGTTCAAAATACGTTTCAAAACTTTTCATTCTATCGCTTCGATGGCTGGTTGTAACTTTTAGTTTGGTATTTTTGTCAACATATCTGTGCGTAACCGGCCAAGGCGAAACTGACTCATTTCGAAACCGACGTAACCTGTTTAAGAATCCAAACAACACATGCGTTTGCATATTTTTTCAATCCGTATATGGAAAGTGTTCGCTGATATAAATCGATTAGGTTTGAATTTATATATGAATATAATATTACCTACTTAGTTTTTGTTTGTATATAACTGCCATAATTTGTTACTATAAAACATATTTACCGACGTGACCAACATAGATATGTGGACGTTTAAAAAGTATAAGTACCTATACAAAAGTTTAAAAAATGTATTGGGCTTCTTTTTTGATCCTTATGTAATTTTTTCCTTATGTTTGCAATCGATGTCTTTTGCGACATCTTGATAATTTTAAAGTATCGTTTAGTTTTCTTTAGAGTCAAAAAATATATTTTGCCACTAAAATAGAGTATCTTCAGTGTATCTAGAAACAAAACTTATCTATTGTTTTCTCTCTTTAGCTATGGTAAAATTATACGAAGATATTTTGTGCCTTTATTTTAAAAACTAGGTAAGTTAAACTCGGGTAAAAAGGAAATTTTAAATACTATGTACATGTATTTGAAATTTTATTTTAAGTTAAAAGATCGATCATTAATTATTTTATATTTTATTACTCTTTAGTAAAATTTTAGCTATGACCCGTAAAAAAGACAATTTATCCATAAAAATATCATCAAGTTTCAATTAAAATAAGATTTCAAAAAAAAATATTTTTATTGATATTTAAATCCCTAACAATTCTCTCATTTACTAGAAATGCTATTATTTACACCTTATTCTTTGTAACATTTAATATAATATATAGTAAGTACCTGGAAGACCGAGCATTGCTCGGTTTATTTTTTTTTTTGGTAAATCGTGTATTTCGAAATAAAAAAAAAATAAAAAAATTAAGAAAGCAATGATCTGGTATAGAAAAAAAAGTAAAAAAAAAATAAGTGTGTAAATGATCGTGACACCAACCGCGGCCTTTTGTTTCGGGGCCGCCCGATTACCGACCGAGCTATTATAATATTTTTTTTTCGGCGAAATTTACCGTCATATTCGAATGATATTTTTCAATCGCTGAAAATAGGGATTAAAGAACATTTTCTAAAAATGAAACCTAGCTAGATCGATTTTTCGTCCCCGAATCTACGCACTTACTAAATTTTATGAAAATCGCTGGAGCCGTTTCCAATTATATATATACAAGAATTGCTCGTTTTAAGGTATTAGATAAAAATGTCCCGTAAATCAGTTTCTGAAAAATATAGAAAAAACAGTTTTGCCAATATGTTACTAAATGAGCAAGACATTATTTTCTGTTGCCTTAAATTACTATTAAATTTCACCCAATTCACTTGTTGACACGGTTTAGCTTGTTCATAAATCAAGATACACACGGTCCTGCATTCAAATACGACCTCAACTACGCAGTTGTGATGTAAAATACGCCATTAAAGGCAGCACCGTAGTGCGTAGTAAAATGCGTAGTAAAACTGCTACTTTCACTTTCCCTATGAAAGTCGTCAGCGTGACATTTACTATGTACATTCACTGATTGAATCTTTAAAATAACATTTGGATTTACAATAAACCGTGTAAACTTTTTATACTTGTTGTAAACTGATGTTTTTGAAAAAGAGCTGTTGAGTGTCTTCCCGTCTCTTCTCAGCAGAAACTACTTTTCGAACCGGTGGTACCTTACGAACTTATGTAGTAATTATTATGTAAAATTCGAGTTACATAAGAACGCGCAAGCGTCTATTTGAATAAATATATTTTGAATTTTACTGTTATACTGTTTTTTTCCCGGACAGACGATAATAAAGTCTGGCCCTATTACATTGTTTGCACAGCTGCCAACATATTAACGATAAATCCATACAACGCGATGCATTCATCACTTATATATGATTTCGTTTTCAGTGGAATTGCAGAATAAGTATGAAATAGAAATTTGTAGTAACTAACGCTCGCTCAAAAAATGACAAACAAAGAAGTGAATTAGTTATATCTATGTGAACGTGCGCAATATGCATCTTGGTAAGGAATAAACAACAATATTTTTAGCCGTTCAATCCACTTATAAATTTCGACCTCATCCGATAGTTTGTTCAGGAAGCCCTGCTTAGCTGCCTACTTTGGCGCAAATCCACTCCGGTAGTCGTCAAAAATGGTTGTAAGATAACCGACTGCGAAAGTCCTAGAGGGCTATTTTGAAAAAATAATGCAAGGTTTTCATTTAGTTTCTCTAGCGCACTATCGTCAATAATAATCCTTTATTATCTTTATATATATCATTCTTCTGTACCTACGTGTGTATGTCACTGAACTCCTCCTAAAAGGCTGGACCGATTTTAATGAAATTGTTTGTGTCTCCAGGTCGACTCGAGAATGGTTTAGATTCACAAACTTATTCAAAAGGTTTGAAATTTTCGGATTTAAGACTTCTATACAGGACAACGTCTGTCAGGTCCGCTAGTGTATTTGTATAAACAACATTCTTTTTCGTCTTTTTAATAATCAAAGCTGATAAAATATAATAATATTATACAATAACTCTACTTACTATACACCAACTTTACTGTACTGTCCGGTGAAGGAAAACATCGCAAGGAAACCTGCATATTTTCTAAAATAATAACAAAAAATATTTCGAAACTATGTGAAATTTGCCAAACCGTAGTTGAGTCGCGCAGTGGACTATTGTGGTGTATTTACACAGCAGCGGGACATATAGGCTGTTTCTTTACTTTGTATTAACTGACACACATAACGTGTTGGATTCGTTAGTTTTAAGGGTTTAAATAAACATGAATGCGAGAAATAAATAACGCTCTACATATTTCATTTCGCTTTTTATGGGATGTCGTCATAAAATGACAAAAAAATTTTTATTAGGGCTATAAAATCACCAGTTTGATTGAACGTAAGCGGATGTAGTACACAGGTGCTAAATTTATCCGCATAACCAACGGAACTGGGCGAGATTAGTGTCAGATTAAAACAGCACATGGACACCTGCCAAGAGATTTTACAAGGGACACTGATTCATCATACGTTACTGTAACGGCCCGTAAAATTTCTCTATGGTGTATACAGCTTCAAGGTGATTTACGTCAGTCACAATGTACTTACAACGCATAATTACATCATAGCAAAAAGCTTAACTGCGGCAGGGCCACGCAACAGTGTTCACTCTTGCGCGAATGGGCAGGTACGTCCGGGTTAGTACCACGACCTCACTGAAGACCGGCGTAAAGTAGAAGTGTTACTTCTGCGTTTCGTCTGGTGAGTGAGGTAGCCGGCGCCCACTTTATTTAAAAGTGGCGACGCATTTTGAACCCTACGGGTGTTGCAAATGTCCATGGGCGGCTGTTATCACTTAACATCAGGTGAACCGCAAGATCGTTTACTCACATAAAAAAACAAATTCTGTACTTGTCCTACGCCGATTCAGTATTTTTACACTACTACTCAAATACCCCGACCAAACCGCAGCCTAATAAAATACCGGTACGAAGTAGTAATACTATTAAGTTTAGTTCTGTATTTGTGGTTTCCGAAGACCTTGGTGTTTAAGATGTCTATGGACGGTGGTTGTCGCTATTAATAAATGCATTATTAAAATAAAGTTGAAAATAAGCAACGCGCAAATTATATACTCTTTTTTGGTCTGGTAAAGTTATTTTTCTAGATGCGGTGTATTTTGGCGTATGCTCTTAAGGTGAAAAATTGGCAAGCGAGAAGGCAGTTCGCCTGATATTAAGTGATTATGGAAATCTACAAGAACTGACGGATGCTGTAAATGCTGGCACTGCTGTAAATGTCCTTGTTACAAACAAACATTACTGTTACAAACCATTAACGTGGGCCTTTATAAATTTACAAAAACTATACATTGGTTGCCTGGCCAGATGATAGATTCGACAAGAGCATATTTGAAAATGAGGAAAGCCTTGTCTTGGCCAAACCCAATTAATAATTTAATAGTAAAAATTTCTTGACACGTAAATCCTACAAGCTTCATTTCAAGTGATACGTATTCATTGAATTGGGAATTACCAGAATATGTTAATAGGTTATCGCTCAGGATATTATTATGATCAAATACCATAAACAACATTGTTTTATCAAATTCATTGTTATTTACTTTAGTAAATTGAATTTTTAATATAGAAGTAGTGCTGCTAGTAAAAGAAGCTAAGAGCTGAGATGCCTTCCTGCTTCTCAATAAATTTTCCTTTTGCGAATGGAAAGAATTAAAAACAATATTGTGTAAGAAGTTATTCATCTTTAGCGTAACAAAAGAAAAATAACCAAAAATTTTATTTCATGTGCAAGTTACTCGTTGTTTGTGAAAAAGACATTAAATGCAATTATTGACAACGGTTTAATTAAATAACTTCAAATTATAGGTAAATGTGAAAAAATTGTTTTGGTTGCCATGATAATACCGTGAAGTTGGTCGCAGTGCAACGACCATTGCGTAATGTCGCTTTTTGGCCGTCGGTGTGTTTGGATTTTTACCAAACGCGCCAAAAGAAGTATAACTTCAAAAATAGTTACGTCATTTTCCGACACAGGCAAATATAGGCACAGTTAATTTTAGGACACATTCTTTTTACACGACGTTCTCTAGTCCCAAACTAAGCAATGCTTCTACTACAAGAAAACTGATAGACATACTTAAACATACTTTTCTTTTGTAAATAAATACACATTATACAT